GCCCATGTTGATGAGAATTGCAGGATCCAAGGAAATTAACTTGACTTGTATTTTAGACATTTCTGCCATATCCATTCCTTGCCCAGAGCTGTCAACTGGGAAGGAGTTGTGCCTGCTTACAGCTTTAATCAGAGATAAAAATTATCCCTAGTTCATGAATATATTTATTATGAAGATATGTCAATGGTAGAGAATAGCTTCTCAGCATACAGTTCTGCATGTCTTACACTCAAACCTGTCATGCACTGAAGTGTTTTGTTCTCTGCATAACACCCTCATACTCGACTTATTGTCCAGCTCATGCACGCACAGAGCCTGGGCAAGGGGAAGTCCTCCAGGACAAAACAGAGAGCTCCTACTGATGAGCATTGAAGGACCTAAAAGCTCCTCGGGTGTCTGCTTGCTGTGCCTTGGCCGCGTATGAACCATTCGCCTGATTTCCAGGGAAGAGGTCAGGAAGGAAATTTTCTCTCATTCTGACCACAAAGGCTGCTGGGGCTCCTTCGATCTTCCTCTGTAGCTTAAGGCTTGGTCTTCCTTCTGGATGTGTTCACAGCTGCGTGCCCTGCTGTTGTCCAGACCCGACGCTTCAGCACGGCTCTTGACCATTAACACCAGTAAGTTGTGCTTTCCGACGGGGTGGGAGGAGGCTGTGAGGTGGTATTTCTTGTGAATAGTCGGGTTATGATAATAGGAAGCAGTCTCCACGAATAGAGAAATCCTTTCCACTTCTAAATGTCTTTTCCATGCCAGCCTGGTAACTCTACAACCCCCGGAGTATTCTAAATTAAAGAAAGCAATACCAGAACAACAACAAAACCAGGAATGTGAATGACACACTAGCAAAACAGAGAGCAAATGGCTGACAAGGGATGTTTATACGTCGCGTGGTGTTATTTTGGCTGCTCTGCTTGTCCAAATTCCCCCCAGAAAACAGAGAGAGCACCAGCAGCTAAATGAAGGCTCCTTGCAGGGCAGGGGCTTGCCAGATCCCGCCGTGTGTGTGTGTGTGTTCATACCGGCGTGGGTGGATTTGTGTGTGTATGGTGGGGAGGAGGGAAGCTTGTCACTGTGTTTTCTTTTCTAGACAGGCATAAGCACCCCTGTTTATTTCCAGCATGCCATCTAAATTCAAAATCAGCATAAGCTGATGATGTTAATTGATTTATATGCATGCAGGCAGTGCTTTATCAAAGGTGGAGGGACATAAGGTCATTCCCCTAAGGGCCTCCAGGGAACAAGTACCCATCTGAGATAATATTGAGATTGGCATAGTTGGGTATATAACTGCGTCCAAGTATGAAGAAACTGAGTTCTTTGTCATTAGCAAAAAAAATAATTTTCCTATTAATATTGTAATTCTCCTTTTAATAAAGGCTGCCCTCATTGAGGTCTAGGAAAGTGCCCTCCAGGTCCACCAAGGGGTGGCCTGGGCTGCAGCTGGCAGGCTGGCTGCCTTCCCGGAGAAGGGAAAAGTCGTGTTGAATTTGCCATCTGAGCAAGGCTCTAGGAATTTTGTTCCCTTCAGGTCAATCTACCACAGCCATGGTGGAAATATCAGAACACTTCCTTAGAGGAGGTCAGCAATGACATCAAGACAGTGGGGACTGACAGGGAGGTCTATACATTCTCAGGAAATTTCATGAAAATATTTGCCCAGTATCTCCCAGAGCTGTACTAAGACCAGAGCTAGAGAAGGGCCTTGGCTTGCAAGTGGCAAAGGAAGAAAAATATGTCCCCTCTTGCACTGCCACCAGTTAGAAGTGGAGGAGAGGAGAGGGGGCAGTCACTAATATACTGTGCCCAAATTATTTCACTATTGCTATTGGTTTTTACCATCTATTTAAAAAAAAAAACATAATCTTTGTTAAGCATGAAAATGGGTTAACCTGAACTGACAGTTATTTCTTCTTCTTTTTTTTTTTTATTTTTTCTTTTTTTTTTCCTTGGGTAAATTACGGGAAAACAGAAATTAAATCCATGTAAAAAAACAGTATTTTCCTTTTGTAAGCAAACCTCCCCTGGCTGACAAATGGGGAATTTTGCCCTCCCTAATGGGAGCTGCAGTATCTGATTGCTCTCTGACTAAGCAGGAGCTCGATGAGGCCACCTTTACACCAAACAATCCCATACATCAGAGGCCATCCCTTTGAATTCAATGGCTTTACTGGTGCTAAGAGAGGATATTGGAAACTTAGTCTTAAATCACACCTTTCAGGTAATAAGCAGCAATGAATGGAAGAGAAAAGGAAGCAGGAGGCTTATAGGATTTAAGGAGTTTCTTTTGAAAAAGGAATCCACCCTGCTGCTGATGGCCAGATGCTCATGTGTGTCTGGAGATGTGCAAATAAAGCAGGGTGTAAAGCTGTTAGTGGTGGTTCACGGCAACAGACTAGCTCCTGTCAAGGAAAAGCAGGTTAGGTAAACTTTTCAGGTATTTGGAGGTGAATCTTTTCATTTGTGCACAGCCCTCGTTTGACCCAACTATTTCACATCATTACCAATTGCTTTGTTCGTACGTATCAAACTTCCTTCTTGTGCTTTATTGGTTTCTGCTCTTCCTGACCTCTTCCAGCAGTTTACTTTCTAACATCCTGAAAGCTTCATCATGACTGTTCAGCACACCTCACCCAGGGCTGAGATTAAAAGTTAAAAAAGAGAAAGAATGAACACAACAGGAGAGAAAACAGAAGAGCTTTTGGCAGCAGCCTGGTGACACTCTGGGGTAAGTGAAATGGGATGGGTAACCACCTGGAATAATGGCAGCAGGGAAAAAAAAGAGAGAAGAAACTCAAACAGCAGGGCCTGAGTGAGAGGATTAGAGGAAACCAAGCTGAGCAGACTTCGGGAGGGGAGAAAGGCAGAAAGTCTATCTATTTGTCTCAGCTCTCTGCACCAAAGAGACGTTGAGACCCGTTAAAATACAAAATGGGCTCATTTAAATCACAACACCGGGCCCAGATATCTTGTATCCAGCAGCTGCTTCTCTCCTGGACTAAAAGTCTGCTCAGCTCTAAGGTGTAAGAGCAGTCCCAGGGATATCTGCAGCGAGGGAAGGAAGCTGGAAATCAAATAGGGGGAGATAGTGTCTGACTTCAGCGGCTGCAGGACACTTTGCTGCACCACAGCCAGTGTAGCATCAATGATCCCCTCCCTCCACAGGTGCTACAGAGCTGCATTTGTGCCCCCTTCCTGCACACTGGACAACAGGGGACAGAGGGGAGGTGAGGGGACATTGGTCTGGCCGAGGCTCACTCAGGCTGAGCCGGGGACCTTCTGCCTCTTCTATTCTGGGAACTCACAGCGGGGTTATGTTTAGGCTGTCTAAGCTGAGCAGTACTGCCATTGGTGGAGGATAAACATATTATTCAGCATAGGGAGGCTAAGATTTGGGAGCCTGGCTCTGTTCTGAACAGGAGTGACAATGGAAACATTCAGTGCTTATGCCAGGAAACATCATATGATTCATTTGGTGTCAATAAAAGAAAAAAAAAATATTTTGACAAAAGCAGAATATTTTGCTTAGTTTTGTTTTTTTTTTTTTTTAATAATTCTCTAGTATATGATAGAAAATTAAAATGTAAAACCAAATACTGTGTCCCCTCAAAAAGTTGGCATGGGTTCCTTAGCGCAGCCAGAATCTTTCTCCCAGTTTTCCTCGAGAAAGAAGTACTGGCAAAATCAGTTTGATGTTATGAAGTGTTTCAATGTTGATGGAATGACGTAACTAATAGTCAGGATACATATGGATGGCTATCTCTACATTTATCTCACCAAAGAACCTGACCTCCAGGTGTTCATCTTTAAGGCTATCAATTAAATTTGCAAAATTCAGGCTTTGGTTTGGGTTACAGTACCACAAAGTATCATAAAGTTCAGTGATGCATGGATTAGGTTCGAACAAAACATAGAGATGTAATGTTAAAGCAGAAGGAATTTCAGGAAAGAGGAACCGGCAGTTTATTTTGTGAAAATACAAATATGTGGTACCACTGCAGCTGTATAAAGTCTTCTAGCAAAAGACAAAATGTAATTTATTTTTTTTTAAAAAGTTGGTTTGAAAACAATAGGAGCATTTGACGCGGTACTCTTTTTTTCATTAAGTATATATTTATTTTTTTCTGTGTACATTCTACTTTTTTTTATAATGCTAATGAAGAATTAAATTGTTACATCTTCAGACTAATGACCTTCATTAAGCCTATTTTAACAATTCCTTCCCAACCTTTCCAAATCACTGCCTTGTGTTTAGGAGACACAGAGAAGTTTAGCTTCTATGTCTGCCTTTGATATTTCTACCAACTGTAGATTTGAGAAATACAATGCTATGTCCCAGGGTACATGTCCTTGACATCTTTGGTCCTTTTTGTGGCTATCTCATAATTCATGCAAGTGATGCCATACAACTGTAAGTTTTTCATGAGGTCATAAAACTGATTTATAGAGGTTTTCCCATAATCTCCAAGCAAATTAAAGAAGGTTGATGGAGCTATGCAACTCACTGTTGCCTCAACAATGGTCTCATTCAGAAATGACACTGAACAAGATTGAGGTATTAAGATATCAAGAATGTCCTTAAGCAGCCTTGTCTGTCTGTAAAAAATGTGATGCCTACAAGCCAGGAAAGCTTGTTTCTTCGGTAAACGTTGTTGATTTTAACTATGACATCTACCTTAAGATTAGTCAGGTATTTTCTTCCTTCAGTTTCTGCTTCCAAATGCAAAAGTTTGGTTAATCTGTTGCAGATCAGCACTTGGGAAAACAAGTTGAGGTTAATCTGCTTTCCCTTCTGAGATATTTGAAGTTTAAGTTTATCCATTTTTCAAGCAGTGTTTTATTTTGATTTTTGGCTTTTAAAATAATTTTACAATAAAGGAAATATTCCAAGAAAGGAAAAATTCTATGCACACACGTGCATATATATATATATATATATATAAACTATTTAAAACATACTTATATATAAAAACTAAAAACAAACATCATGCTACTCTATTTTGAAACTGTTAAAAGTGGACATTTCAGAATTGTGGGAACTTTATTCTTCCATCTTTACTTCTGAAGCTGTTTGTGAAGTGCTTGCATTTTGACAGAACTATATAGTTCAAGAAAATGAGCTTTCACTAAACTGCCTCCAACTTCAATATATGCCCTGTGTCAAACTCAGAGAAAGCTTGGATGTAGTTCCAGCCTCTGTGGCTGGGGCTGAGTGCCAATTATGCTGCTCCCAATGGCCTATAACTGTCTTTTTTGCTTCTGTGAATATCACATTTCTAGTTAAAATCTTCAGGATAGCTTGCAAACTATTTGCTACTATTGCTCCAGAGTTGAAAGTAACCTTGAAAACACTTCTCCATGGTAGCAATCGAGGTGATTCTTCCATCCTTTCTCAAAAATGGCGGTATATCATTCCTATCTTTCCTGCTCAAACTCTCCTCAGCAGGTTTCTGAAGACCTTTTTAAGGTAGGTGTTATCCTTTTTTTTTTCCTTTATATTTGAATATTTCATCTCAAACTTCACAGGGAGACGACTATCTCCCAACTGCACGAGTCCAGCCAGGAGTGTTTTGTATGTATGTTCTAAAGCATTTGATGCAGTCTGTACTGTGATTATATATAAAGAAATTCATTTTTAAATCACCCCTTTATTGGAATGAGTGGGCCTTTTAGAGGACAAAAACCATAAAGATCATACACAAACCTAGAGAGATCTGAGATGAGAAATTCAAGTAATTTTAAGAGTATTTGAAGTATGAACAGGGAAATATAAACATTGAAAGCATCAGTTTTATTATTAGAATTAAAAATTAATTCTCAGAATGATTTCTGGGATAATTTAAAAGTGCTAATGAAAGTATTGGGCCAAATTCTGATCTCACAACTTTGTAAAAACTTCTCAATGGGAGTTCATTGAAAGGGAGAGGGCATCAGCCTTGTTATGTTCAGGCACAGTACAAATATATTTCATATTTAAATAAAAGACAGCTTCTGTGACACACATATTACAGAGCTATATTTCAAGGCAATGCTGGCTCATGGCCAGCATATTGCAACAGGCTGGTAAAAGAAAGCAATGAAATGATTAGATGCTGTGGCCTTGCATTTGTTTTTCTGTTTATGTAATACTAAACCCTTACTAATGTCATCATCAATGTTATTGTTCTAGTGTTGCAAATTCTTGTAGTTTTCTCATGACGTTCCTTAAAGCCTCAGCTGCTGGAATCAGGTGATCATCATGAGAATTTCAAATTTCTTGGTTTTTAAATGTAACCCCCTAGTTGTAGAAACAAGTTCAAAACCATGTTTTGAGTACAACTCAAACCATCTTATTATATGACTGTATCAGATGAGTCAAAATATGCAATTTACAAAAAACAGTCTGTATGTGAAACACAGAAACTGCCCTAAAAATCCCAGCATTTAATTTAAACTAACTCCCTTGTTCCCAGTGCCAATAATTAAAATAAGCCTGGCATTCCTTGTTACCCTGTGAAATTACCTGCAAGGCCTTTTCATATTGTTTCTATGCTGTTGTTTTCATGCTCAGTAGAGCATTAAGAGTCAATGATGGGCAGCTCTTGTGTTACTCTATGAATCGTGGGGCATTTTCCCTTGGACGCTATTGAAAATCCTCAAGGTGTTTATTGACAAATGCTTCCTACGGGCCGTCATAATAGAGAATTCTCCTTTCTGCCTGCTCCCCAGTTCCTGCAAGGCCCATCTGCTCCACATCTAGGCATGCTGTTTCAAAAAATACAAATACATTTTTTTTCAGTACCCTCTGTAATATGCCTTCAACAGAAGTTATGGATCAAGTGTGCTTCCAGACCAAAGGTACTCAGTCCTCCAGCTTTGAACAGTGCACTGCCATTTCCCCTCCATTTGTTTCTATGGTGCTGACTATGTGTGCGGTCATCCATAAGGGTGCTGAGATACCCTGGAGAGAGAAGGAATAGCTGTAGCTATTTTTCATTATTATATACTTCACTTCGTAATAAATGAGATCCATAGCATGTGAACACTGGTCTTGTAGATCATCATATCAGCAAGCACAAGGAACCTTATGTGCCACAAAGCTAAATAAAATAAACTAAGCCAGCCAGGCAAAAATAGTCTGGTGAGACATCAGTGTTCAGGAGTGTACAGTGTGTCTTCTCAGACTGAGATCGGCCTCAGGACTTACAGTAAATTGAGAACAATTAGTTTTAAAGCTAAAGCCATCATCTGTATATCTGTCTCATCACTATCTCTATTTATATACACAGGTAGCAGAAATGTATAAACTTGAATTTCCATTGTCTTGACGATGTCTTTGGGATAACAAAGACCAGCAAACAACTTCTGATCTGAAAAGAAGCAGCATCAGCAATGGGACTCTTGTTCAACGCTCGTGATGACGGTGAGTATTGAATATCTATCTAGAGCAGGCCAGATCACAGGTGGAATTTTAAGACCAAGGTTATAATAGAGTCAGGTTTTAAAAAAAACCCATGGGTTTACAGGTAGGGTATCTGTCTGTCTGCATCACAGCACAACAGGCTTGGTTGGTCCTGCTGAGAGCCTAAAGTGAATTTCTAACCCCAGTAGGTATTTTGACCAAAAATCCAAGGATGTGAACTATTGAACATTTAACCAGTGCTAAGAAAATTATGGATATCTATTTCCTGAGCGGCAGTTATACTCCAGGTGATGAACTTTGCTGTTATTTCCATGGCTTAGTGATACTTTGATACCTCCTGCTTTTGTGTAGTGATCTATTTATTGAAAGGTGAAAGGCCATTCCCAAGGCTGGGGCGATTTTTATGGATGCAGAGAAGTGTTAGCAAGAGGCTCCGGAACACCAAAACTTAGTTCTAAAAAAACACATTCAGAGATACAAAATCATCCTAAAGAATAGCAACCGATAAAATTTATACAGCATTTAAAAATAGCACCAGTCTATCCAGAGCATAATGATTAACCCCTTAAGACTTAGGTTACAGGAGACATCCCTTTTAACAGCCAAGTCCAGCGGCTCCATCTATCTAAAGCTCGATAGCCATTCACAGTAGAAGAGGGTGGCTTTCTAATTTTTTGGGGGTTTCAAAACTCATGGTAGATTATAAACAGCAAGCTGACAGCTTCCTCACAGTTGTGGCTACTCTAGTGTATGACTTTTGAGTATGGGATAACAGATAGTTGGAAATTAAGTCTTTTCCCTGAGGATGGTGTACAGAGTCAGGAGTTCCACAGAAAGAAAAGAGCTAGAAAAAAATCTTCCATATTGAGGACTGCTGGAGGTGAGGACTCTACCTTTACAATTCATTTGGCATCATAACATTGTAAAATCATGCACAAAAATTTACGCGCACACAGAATTCTCCCACTGTTTCAAAATACAGTGGTTTTCTTCACTGTTTGCCTTGGAGTGAGTGGAGAGAATTCTGGTTTGGTTAAACTTTCTGCCTCTCAGATAAAAAACAGCAGCAATTTTCTGCTTGAATTTCTCTGTGACTAAATCCATTGATCATCCTTTCTCTCTGTGAGTGAGGAGTGTGTTTTCTCTTTAATAACTCCTATCCTTCTCCCTGAATATTTTTTTTCTCTCCCCTTCGCTTGTTTGTGTTGTGTTGGTCAGTCCACTGCTCTATTCCTCCGAGAGACAGAGAGAGCACAAAATTGAAGTTATTTTATGCTTGGTCTCCCTCAGTCCCAATTTTCAAATCTTCATGTCAATTTTCACACATCAGTGTCATATGGTGAATGCTATGGAAATTTCAGTGGGGTCCTTGGGAGACAATTTATACATGACCCCCTATTCCCTCCCCCAACCAGGCTGCAGCCCCTGCCTTTACAAAGAATAAATGGATTTATAATTAATGTGAATTTTAACATATAACTACATTCGGAAATTTTCCCATTATTTGCCTCTTTTGCAATGTGAGTTCAAGGGAACACGAGCTCTCTCCCTCTCTTTCTCCCCCCCCCCCCCCCC